TTGGGTATTTTCAATAATTTCCCGTCCGGCAAGCTATAACTGGTGTGGACTTAGAACTCTTAAAAGAATAAAATTATACATCGAATAAAGATAAAAATATAAACTAATTAATAAAAATTTAGATCATTTCTCTTAATAAGATTGACCTTTTAAGATGGACAATTCTTAACATGGTAACATAGTTTATTAAATTTCAACGAGTAATTCGATACGATTAAAACTCAAATAATGAGCATGTGGATTTTGATGCGAGCTCATGTAGCAATTGAAATTACGAAATCCACGACAGATTAGATCTAATCCAAAAAAATGAAGAATCAACGTTGGAAAAGCTCGATCCAATAAATTATTTAACCAAAGAACCAAGACATTCGCCAATAATATCTTGACCTTGTGATCATAAACTTATGAACTTTACTTAAATTGTTGAACATCACAAAAATTTAATTCTTTATAAGTGAGAAATTAAATCAATGAAGAACGAGTTGAAAGTAATATGTCTCGAAATAATATCTCTCAAATTGTGCGTTTTTACAATAAAAAGAATAATCATTTTTATACGAAATCCATAAAACCTAATTAAAAAGGGAATTACAATTAAAACATATCAAAAAATACCACAAAAGAGTTTTAACTAAAATAGAATTATAAACAAAATTTGAAAAAATAAAAATAAAAAATCACAGTTTGATACTATGCAGCCGCATAGGTGTAGAGCATGCGGTTGCATAGACATTTCTTCAACCTTTAGTGTGGTTTTAGTATGGAGGCATGCGGCCAAATGTAATATGCGATCGTATAGCTTTCTCTTTCAACTCCCTCGTCTGTTATTTAAACCAAGTTGATCCATCTTGTTCCCTCTTCCAAACCTAATATGAAATTTGCACTATTAATTGTTGTGATAGATGTTTTATTCACTGTAGTTTGAACAAGTAATCACATGGCTTCTTTAACATTCATTACTCGTGACCTAGTCATTAATCATTCATCTACGATCAACGGGTCTTTGTTCTTGCTAGCTCCCGTTCCCTGGTCCTCATCTTCCCTTTCTCTTCAAAAGAATTTGTCCTGGAATCTTCAAAAGAATTTGTCCTGGAATCTTCATCTGCATCAAATAAGAAAATATTAGAAACATTGAAAGTAGCAAAAATGTTATATTCACTTGGAAGATCCAATTTACAGGCATTGTCGTTGATCTTTTCAAGCACTTGAAACGGTCCATCTTCTCTCGATTGCAACTTTGACTTCCTTTGAGTCGGAAAGCGTTCATTTCTCATATGCTCCCAAACCCAATCTCATATTTCAAATATAACGCGCTTTCATCATTTATTTGCTTGAAAAACATAATGCTTATTTTTTTCTCAATCTGACATCGTACTTTCTCATGGAGGGATCTTACCAACTCGACATTCTTCTTTCCATCTAAGCTGCCTCTCTCATCAATAAATAAATGAATTAAATCCAAATTAGTGGATTAAAATCATAAACAATTTCAAATGGAGTTAGAATGAGGAACCATATTATGTCCATGTTTGAGCACCATTAAAATTTTCTACTCATTTTAAACAACACATTTTTCAATAAAATAATATTTATCATCACATCTATAATTTTTCT